CTAGTTGATGCATTTCCAACTCTTTCCAAAGTTTATGCGATCGCAGTTGCAATTCCATTCAAACGTGCACACGTTCGTGTATGTCTCAAAAAAAACTTTAAGCGTTGCTACTATATGAACGGAAGATTTTAATGTCTTCGGACAAAGAGCAGATTATTACCGCCTTTGGAGGTCTTACATCAGAATTGTCGAAGGCGCTTATATGAAAATGTTTAGAAATGCTAGAAATCGACAATCGTTATTGGAACATTAAAGACATTGGAAAATATTGATCGATTGATATGAGCAACATTTGACGTGGTCAACATTCCATACAACTCGTGATATATAGTACGGGTCAGGTTAAAATGCGGCAGCGGTGCGGAACGGATGGGATTAAAATGCAGAACGGAACGAATATGAGGTTTAAAACTTAATGTAAAACCCATATCCGTTCCGTTCTGCATTTTAACCCCATATTCGTTTTGTTCCACATTTTAACACCATATCCGTTCCTTTCCGCATTTTAACCCCATCCGTTCCGTTACGTTCCGCATTTTAACCCCATCCGTTCCGTTCCGCTTCCACATTTTAACCTAACCCTATATAGTACTAACTATCAAGTGACATATAGTAATAACTCTTTTTGTATGTTTTGACAATTAACATGACAGATTCGTTCAATAAAGTCCAAGCACACTTTTTAGTAAAACATTACAAGTTATTAGTAGTGAGATCGGCGTTTAATATAAGTCAAAATATTTTATACAAATATACTCAACGAGTGACTTTATTCCTCCATAATTAATCTAAAATAAAGATTTATAGTAAAACTGATACCGTACTAATTAATTTCAGTACTACTACAAAATTCTAACCAAATTGCAAATTTCGACACGTTATAATCTCGTTTCCTGACCATCAGATTTCTGTCAAATCTTCCCCCAAAGTCCAGGAAATAGCATTTCAGACTCTAGTTTAAAAATTTTCCGGGGGTGCATGCCCCCGGACCCCCTAGGAACACCTCGCATCTGCGGCGCTCGGCTCGTGCCTTCGGCTCTCGTTTATCAAGCGTCACATTATAGGGGCGCATATTGGTTGATAGCTCACGTGATGTTTGTACAAATATACATTTTAAATATATTTTGCTTTATATGGGCAAATAAAATCAAGTGTCAAGAAATTTTGCAAAGCAATTTAAACGATGCTAGACGTATTTGACACGCTATGGACTTTCGGCGACTTGAGCCGCTTAATAACACCATTTTTAGCGATCTTGTTTTCGTCGTGTGTTTCGGATATTAAGTATAGGTAATCACACGGGAAGGAGTGCAATTAATGATTAACACTACGAGTAATATTTGAAAAATGTGCCAAAATTGCACGAGCCGCCGAGGCGAGTGCAATTTGGCACATTTTTCAAATATCATGAGTAGTGTTAATCATTAATTTCACGACTTGCCAGTGTGATTATTTATTTATTATATGCATGACAAAATCGCTTTCTTTATATTTCAACTGCATTTTGTCAAGAGTTTTTAATTCTTTTGTAAGCAATTTAATTTGGTATAAACAAACTTGGGAAATGATCATAAACTCATAAAG